ATTTGGTTCTTTTTGGTATTCGACGGTATTTGTGAATTGTATTCAATGGGGACAAAGGCATTGTTCGAGCAGAATTTTTCAGGTGGTTCAAAGTCGTACCAGTACTCGGTTTGGTGCTTCTTTTTTTGATGTTTGTGGATTCGCCAGGCGAATTCGCTCTTGTCCTTGGAGTCAAAGTGTCTCACCATGGTTCGGAGTCGATCGCGTGGCATGATGGGTGTCGAAGAATGCGTGACTTGTTGTTGTTGTTGTTGTTGTTGTGGGTTAGACGTGTCAGAGGACGATGATGATGGAGAGTTCTCATAACACTCCTCTGTTCTAGCACGTTTTTTTGAGTTTATCTTGTGATTCTCATCCCGGTCCTTGGCCTCTTGAATGACAGCAAGAGTCCTTGGCTTCTCCATACTAGGCATGTCGCTAGAAACGGTGCTACGAATAATCGCTGATTCCACCTTTCGTTGACGGTTCATTGTATGTTATAGAGTTCTTGTCGTGTCGTGTCGTGTCGTCTCTCTTCTCTTTACTGTCGCTCTTGCGTTATTGATCAGCTTCTTGAGAGGTATTTCTGCTTTCGTTTGTTTGGCAGCTGCTCTCTTTTGAATTGAAGGAACGTTTCAGGTTCCACGGTAAAACCTATGTACCTGTAGTCCGCAACTTTGTTTTACGATTGCAATGACACACACAAAACGGATCATGAATCAATCGCGTCGACCACTTTGACTCTATAGGATTCGATCACTCTAATTAAAACTGACACACTATAAAAACATTGACGATGAGGATGGCGTGGATAAATTGCGCTTTTAGGATTACATTATACTTCGAGTTGATTCAATGATCATGGGTATCGCGAGTGTCCCATGTCATGGTTAGCAAATATACATTGCACATACCAGCTTCGTCTCGCTCCTTTCGCGTTCAAAATACACTAGTAGCTTTCCCACTGACGCGGAACCTCCGAATCGCCACATTCTTTTGGCCGGAGGATCGGCGTTCTGGAAGTTTCGGGGCTGCT